AGTATTTGATTAAAGGAAAAAAAAAAATAAATAAATAAATAAAAATGTAAAATGTCAATTAAATTATTAAAAATCACATATCGTGCATATTGCGCCAGGATGTGCGCATATCTTCAATTAAAAGCGACGCATTAAACGTAAACAATTGCAAATATTTACTTAAATGGCTGCACCACATTTTTCCCACGGAGCTTATTCAAAGTTACGGGAATGGTAGTTTGCTTCGCTCTGTTAGTTTTCTTATTTATTTATTTATTTTTATTTCTTTCTTAATGTATTTAAAAGCCGGTGCTCTTAAATTTTCACATACAATTTTTATATCATAATTTCACTACTTTCATTGTCACTTACTATTACTAAGCCACTCTTGTCTGCTAGCCTGCCTGATTGCTTAGTTGTGCGCTTGTCAGCCGCCTATGTTGTTTAAAAAGCCGTTATCACAGCAGCGCGATAATCATAATAATGATAATTACGAAAAGGAAAGGAAAATGTCAGTTTGTTTTGGTCTTCACCTACCACACAACCATCAATCATCTTTAGTTTTCTTTCATTACTAATGTTGCATACTATCAACTCATTTATCAGCCGCATATACGTCTGATTACTTACGAGTCACGTGTAAATGCCTTGAAATATGTTAAATTGAGGCTAAATACCAGCAAAAAGAAAAGACAAAATTAAAACTAATATTTAACGCGTACGTGCAGAGCAACAATGAGTAACGATATAGTAAATGAAATAAGTCAGCTGCGGATAATAAAATAAGAGAGGATCGCTAAATTGATTATACTTCCACTTACCGTAACAGCAAAGAAAGTCTTAGATATGCTGCGTACATGTTTACATACCATATTAATAGCTTTCGTCCCTCTATGCGGCCTTTCATGAGCGATATTATTGTACAATGTATTTATGATAGTTGTTTTTTGTTGCCGTTATCGTTGTCGTTTTGAAAGGAAAAGTTTTTCTCACAACACTGCCTGCCATATGGTAAATAAGTTGCACGCCACAATCTTCTATATTTTGTGGCGGTTTTCTGCCCTCACGTGGAGAAAATAGTTTTCCAGCAAAAAATGAAAATTTTTTCCCGACCCCTTAACCTCAGGATCGCACTTGTAGCTGTTAGTTAAATTGTCATCATGTTTAATCAAATTTTTCTGAATTTTCGTGCATTTGATGACACCGACAACGCCTTACAAGTAATAGTAATGGAAAAATTTTTTTCTGCTTTCAACGATCGTCAACAGTGTTATCTCATTTTCGCCAATAGTTTGCATCTATCGTGACAGAAATTTTTAAATTGCACGTGTTTTCATACCATCTACCTCTCAGGAATGCACACGCTACTCATTCGCATTAATTTTCCTTTTCTTGCAATCTTCTATGCCAACATCTACATTGTTCTTGAACAATGCAAGCCATATCTCTATCAGTTTCGCAACGGAATAACATGCTAAATACTAATAATAAAAAAATAACTAAATTGAATCCAATTTCTATATAAGTGGTTTCTCGACTTTCGTTCTGCCGTAAGCGATGCTTACCAATCTAGTCTTAGCAATCATGCCTGCTTCACTTAATCTTAATCATATAACGATTGATTTTATCCTAATTGAAAGCTTAGTATCGCATTTTAGTCACAATTCATCGCCTATGCTCATAGATATAGTCCTTTTTTCGCCTCTTTTTCTAAATAACTCGCTCCTGCTAGTTTTCCATATGTATCGACTTTCGAACCTATTCATAGCAGCTCAAATTCAGGCTGATTTTGGTAACACATCGTCTGCTTATGAGTATATGCCATTTCCATGCCACGTGTACCGATTTCAGCACATATACGAAATGCTTTTTAAAACATTAGAACGACGAATTAAAGGACTACCTCACAACTGAAATATTCAGTAACAACTAATCTACTCGCCATGTGAACCGTTATTAGTACGCGTCTTAAAGAGCATTGTAATCATTACCGTACGGCGTAAACTGATGATAACAATAATTAATTCTACGATTCCAGTATCGTAATTTATAAAATTAAGCTTGGCATAGATATGAGTTTTAGTGTGTACTAAAAACGGTACACCTAACAATGTACACTGTACAATGCCAATGGAAAGTAATTTCATCGGCCTAAGTGACCAAGTGGGCACTCTCGACTAACAACAATTGCAGTAGAGTTTTCAAAAAAAGCCGATAGCTTCCGATGCTAGTGCTTTAAGACTTTAGTCTCGGTATTTATTCTCTGGCTAAATAAATTATAATCATAATGATCGAAAGTAATGTGGAATTTGCACTTTGCATTGAATCGAAAATTGCTAAGCAATGTAAGTTAGTTTTAGTAAAAGTTTGCAGTAAGTGAAAAGAAAAATCAAATCAATTCGATTTTTAATAAATTTTTCGATATTTACGATTTGCTTTATTGCTTTTTAATAAACGCATTTTCAATTGGAGAAGAGTAATGCTGGCTCTTAAGCAAAAGGAAACCTCTATCGCTGCTTCTTACATAACATAAAAGCAACATCAGTCATGCACTCAAGTATATGCCTGCTCTTGTTACAATGCACATACATTGCGTAAAATATGTGAACATAATCTGAAGAATAACATAAAACAAAACGCAGATAATAATAGAATAAGCAACACTAGGTGGTAGATATATAGTAATAGATATATATAGGAATTTTTTTTCTTCTGCTAATTGCAGTCGGACCTTTAACTTTAATATAAAATTAACTCATTTCTTATAGTGAAGTTGAGAGGAGCAGAAAGGAAGAATTTGCAATCAATCGATTCTTTGGTTCTATTAGTTTTTCATTTATTTTTCTTATTTTTTTATATATACGTGTATGCATAAATGCATATATGTATATATGTATATATATATATATTAACAATCCAAAACCGCTTTCGTTGTTGTCGTTGTTGTGTTGTTTATTTTTTAATAATTTTTTCATAGTGAAAGTTTTAGTTATCTATAAAAGCACACACACACACACACACACACACACAATTTTATACATACCTAGAGACACATGTAGTTTCCACATCACTAGATTGAACGTCATTCATATTTGCTGCTCCTATAGCCTTGCCAGTTAAAGACATGGACGAAAAAACTAAACGGGCAAGCGGGAAATTCTCATTTAACATCATGTGTTAACCGCACAAAAGCATTCAAAATATTGGAAATTAAAAAAAAGGACTGACGTAAATTTTTTTTTTTATATTGTTGAGATGACAATCAAAAATAACCGAAAAAAAATAAATAACAGTAACAATAATAATAATAACAATATTCAATAACAACATAAACATCAGTTTATCAGAAAATCAATATATTTGTAATTGTTTTTGTTTTTCTTTTAAAAAATTGCAGATGCAAGCTATAAATTAGTTGAGTTTTTATTTAATTATTCAGTTATGGAAAATATTGCTTTCTTCAGATTGATTGCATTCATAGACTGCACACGATACGCACAAATGCAATACACATGCAAAAATCAATTTTAAAAAGTAAGAGGAAAAGGCTTCATTCGGCTTAAAATAAGGCCCCGATATCCAACTGCTAAATCGAAAATGCTTCAGACCCACGAACAATATTTACTCGATCATTTTTAGCTTAGTATGTGTTGCTTGAAGTCTTAATGAGCATACAAGTCTTTTAATTGCTCCTAGATGGTCAGATAGGTTCAAGCCTCATCGCGAGCGCATCTCTGATTTTTTAATAATATGTCAAAATTCAATCATTCCACAATTTAATGCGCATAGATAACTATAGTGAGTGAAGCACACACACTAGAAGGCGGTGTAAGCTCGTAAAGATCTACGCTCCGTTTATTGATAACCCAGCTCTGGAACAGAAATACATTGTTAGGAATAAATATTGTACCATTCACTGCGGTGATGCAGTCCTAGAGGTGGAGAAGGCCTTCGGTAGAGTCTGGCATGAAAAATTTCCTTCAACTGCAATGTATTTGCTGCTTAAGACAAACCTATTCACAAAATCGACATTTCTGTATTGCAGTTGAAAATGGAAAATCCAAAGTGTAAAAAACTCAAGCTAGAGCTCGAAACGCTCTACGCAATTTTTCCAATAATATTGTGATTTTGAGTTGACCGCAATTCTGTTTGCGTTTAACGGTCTCCTATACACAAACAACAAAGTCATTTGAACAAAATTTGCCTTGGATTCGAAGCCAGGGAGTTTTCAAAGAAATGCCACAAAATTTATATATATTACGTTCACGCTTCACTTTGCCAATAATAAATAAGGCAATAACTTAGCTTATATAACACCTGTGGTTTACTTATCTTGGCTTACATACTGACCAAAGGTTAATTCGATTTCGAAATCAGATCACTCGCTCACGCTTAAGTGTTCCGTTTGATCTAAGAAATAGAATGCACTCTCTACATGAGGATCCTTCAAACCCTTCTGATCTTATTATATATTGCTTCTATTGCGTAACATTTAATTTCTATTACTTCCCTCCTCCTTTGCCGTAGCATTTACTTAGATACATTGTAAATTATTGTATATAATATAATAATATAAAAATAAATAAATAAGTAAATTTTGAAAAGTTTACCGTGGTGTAAACCCTTTAACATGTGTTTTCATGTATACTATGAAATATATATTATGCCATAATTGTTCAAATTGGAATATAATTTATGTAGCAAAAAAATAAATAAACAAAAAAAAAAAAAAAAAAAAAAATCAACAAACAAAAACAGAAAACGAAGCAAGTAATGTAATTTACTTAAACACATTTACAATCATGTACCGACACTTGTTTCGCAGACAAAAAAACAATGATCGGTTTATTCTAGGCTAGTGCAACTTTTTTCTAGTTTTTTTTTTTTTCAAGTAGTTGCTGTGCGCTTAAGCAGGAACATAAGTTTATGTTGTTAATTGTGTTGCTAATTAAAAATATTGTTGGTTATTTGTTTTTCATTTTTCCTGCTACCTTGCTTTGTTGAACGTACGATACGGTAAGACTTTGCAGTCATGTCCCATTAGTACATGTACTAATGAACCAGATACTCTAAGTGCCAACAATGAGTCGTTGCAACCAATTCCGGACAGCACTCTTTATAAACAACCGTTAACTATCCAACAAAACGGGCATAGTTGTAGCAGCAGCACTGTTAGCGGCAGCAATAGCAGTGAGAATCGTCACCACCATCATCTTTTGCATACACATCAACACAGCATTACAACCGGGAATAGTGCTACAAGCGACACTTCATCCGCATCTTTCCATCAACGCTTTGATTTCAGTCAAATAAAAGCTCGCTTACCAGAACTAAATTGTCTGCATAATTTGCAACGTTTCTGGCAGCAGCACAACGTTACTACACACAATAGCAACGCAAGCTCCGACGATCAAATACCAAACAAAAAGGATGGTGGCGCTGGCGGCTTTGGCTCATTCTACGCTAATAATATTTTAGGCTACACTTTCGGCTATCCATTCGGAGGGTCTGAAACTGTCGGTGGCGGCGGTAGTGGTGGTGGTGGTGGTGGTGGTGGTGTTGTCGGTGTCGGTGTCGGTGGTAAAGATTCAAGCAAGCCGGAAGCTGTTCGAGAAACGCCTCTTCAGAAATTTTACAGACATCAACAGCAAAAGAAAATGCCAGCATTTCGAGGAAGACGTGGTTGGTGCGGTTGCTTTCAGGTGAGTGCGTGCATATAACGCACGTTAATTAAAAAAAAAAAACTAATTAAATATTTTTTTAAAGAAAAAAGAAAATAAAGCTTTTTTTTTTTTTTGTTTTGTACGACTAAATAACTTCTCCCCCATCATATCATCTTTTTTATGTACAATTAAAGAACAAGAGAGAAAATCGCAAATTTTCAAATTTCTCGATCGAAATCAGACACTTTAACTCGGATGTCGGAAGAGATTTTTGAACACTTTTCCATAAGAATTGGCTATCGTTCTTTGCGGAACGCAGGCAACAGGAAAATTTGCTTCGATAATACGTGAAAGATTTTAATATTAAATTACATTCACACCGCTACCAGCATTGCATTCATTTATGCAACAGTTGTTTCCGAAACACGTTTCTTAACTGTTTACCATCCATGACCAGACGCTTGCAATATTTTGTATTGTATGCTTAAGAAATAAATAAATGTCTTCATCGTAAAGCACACGTGTAACGATGATCTTCGGTTTAAAAAAAATAAATAAATGAAAAGTGCGGCTTTTCCTTAAAATAGAAAGGTAATGTAACGTTCCAGGTTAAAGGAAACTGAACGATCGGTCAGCTTCAGATATGAAAAACGTTACAGTTCAATTTGGCCCGAGAACCAAATTTGCCATTATTGAGCTCAACATAGAGAATGGATTTCGTTCATCTTGAATTTTTTAGTTAGTCTAGTCACCCAACCTGCTGCCATTTAATTAGTGGATTTTTGTCAGTGCGTCTTCATACACTATTATGACGCTTTTGAAGCTGATGAACTTAAATAAAATAAATAAATGAAATTAAATGCTGCATAAATTACAATACTTTACTTTACATTAATTAACAAAAATGTTGGGTTACTTCATATTTTGCGAACAATTAATTAGTTACACTCTATTAACAGTGAATGCATTAATTACAGCCATACGGCCGCAATGCCATTCCATGAAACCTTAAGTGAATCAGAATTTGCCTTTCTCTCTTGTTGCGCTGTGTATGGCTTTCGCAATAAATTAAATAAATTTTTTATATCATATTCCGTATATGGGATGTAGGATGATGAACCTCCTGAGATTTGCGTGGTTGAGGGTGCATTTACCCTCCAAACCCTGACGCCCACTCAACCAATGCCCTCGGTCGATGAGTTAGATACGAAATTCGCTGAACTAGTCGAAGAATTAGATTTGACAGCGCCGAACAAGGAGGCAATGTTAAGTTTGCCTCCCCAAAAAAAGTGGCAAATTTACTGTTCACGCAAATCACCCCTCGATACAATAGATGGGGGTCCAACAACCAACATAACGCAACCACCTACCGCTGAGCACTATGTAGAACGCCTTAAGGATTTGGCATTGCATATTTCTGTCAGCCCCGATGACTCACCGTGCCATGAATATAGCTCTTGCATTGAAAATCACGCTCAGTTTCTCGACGCGTTGAAGACCGCCCTGAGAACGTCAACGCACAGTTTTGTACTAAGATTTGTCGAGTTCGACGGATTGCCGGCTTTACTGAATCTCTTGCAGAAAATGGACATACGCGTGTCCAACAGTCCATTTCACACTAGTCTAATAGGTTGCATAAAAGCCTTAATGAATAATTCGGTACGCTTAATAAAGGCCATGAGAATATTTTGCTTTTCCTTTTTTTTTTTTTTTTTTAGTTTATATAATTTCAATTAATTCCTCTTTAAGACGGGCAGAGCTCATGTTTTAGCTCATCCTACATCGATTGACATCATAGCTCGGTCACTTGCTGCCGATAACATTAAAACTAAAGTGGCCGCCTTAGAAATTTTAGGAGCTGTCTGCCTAGTGCCAGGCGGTCATCGTAAGGTCTTGCAAGCCATGTTGAATTTCCAGGATTACGCTGCCGAACGTACGCGATTTCAGGTGCATTCGAATCATTTTGAAAAATTTCAATTTAACAAATCCGTTGACATGATCTTCTTGAACTTTAGAGCATTGTTAATGATTTAGATCGTTCGACGGGCGCATATCGTGACGATGTGAACTTGAAAACTGCCATAATGTCTTTCATCAATGCTGTACTTAATTATGGTCCCGGTCAAGAGAATTTGGATTTCCGTTTGCATTTACGTTACGAATTTCTAATGCTTGGTGTACAACCCATCATCGATAAATTGAGGAAGCATGAAAATGAAACCTTGGACAGACATTTGGTAGGCTTTCATGCTTATTCCTTATTAATCTTTTTAATAGCGTCTCAATGAAACTCAATGATTTTGATTCGTTTGCTTGTAAAAAGGATTTTTTTGAAATGGTACGAGCCGAGGATGAGAAAGAGCTGGCCCGTAAATTTGATCATGAGCATATAGACACGAAGAGCGCTACAGCGATGTTTGAATTGCTAAGACGGAAGCTCAGCCATTCACCAGCCTATCCACACCTGCTTTCCATGTTCCATCACATGCTTCTATTGCCATGTAAGCTTCATACAATTTGCAAAGTGTTGTAGTGGTTCCTATTTCTTTTCACTTGCGATACTTAGATACCGGACGCTGTACTCAGCATTGGCTAATGTTTGACCGCGTCGTTCAGCAAATCGTCTTGCAGATTGAAAGTGGTCGAAATAATGGCGATGTTGATATTGACGATCAAATCAAAGTTCACGACCCAGACGTGGCCCCTTTAAAAATCAATGTTAATGAAATAGTTCATCTACTGGTAAAGGAAGAAGAATTAACACAAGCCCGTAGAAGGGCCGATGAGTTAGAGAGGGAAAATTTTGATATACAATCGCGATTGGCAAAAAAAGAACAGGAGCTTGATCAACGAGTGCAAGAGAAAGAAGATTTAGAGACAAGTTTAATTCGTATGCGGGAACGTTTAGAAAAAGAATCGGCCAATCATTCGCAAGCGGTACAAAGAGCGCAAATAGCCGAAATTAAAGTTGAAGATTTGCAGCATCGACTAATGAGCGAACAACAAGAAAGAAGCAGATTGGAGCGATTGGTTACGGAGGGCAGCATACCAGATGATCAAAAGGTTGCCGGCCTTATTGGCTGTAATGGTGCTACGTCCCCTCCGCCACCACCGCCTCCCATGAAAATTTTACCGCCCCCGCCGCCACCATTTTTAGTAGCGCCACCACCTCCTCCTCCATGCCCAGGACCGCTTCAAGCACCAGTTATGGCTCCAACTATGGGTAACTTAATTTCTTTTTATATTATCTTCCTCTTTTGAGTTATGCCTTAACAAAAAAATAGACTATAAAATGTTTTATATGTTATTAGCTCCTCCAGTTCCGAAGCCCGAAGCACCAAAGAAAAATGTACCACAACCCACAAATCCGCTAAAGAGCTTCAATTGGTCGAAATTACCCGATGCCAAGGTTGAGGGCACCGTTTGGAGTGAACTAGATGAATCTAAATGGTACAACAACATTGAATTACAAGCGATTGATAAGCTATTCTCAGCTTATCAAAAAAATGGTGTAACCGTAAGTTAGAAGACAATTTTGCAATTTAGATGTAAAGATGTAAAATTTCCCCCTTCGGCACATCTCTTCTGGCAGACCGCGGATGGTTCCGTCGAAGACTTACGGATGATGGGCAGTAAGCCACGCAACAAAATTCTTTCAGTGATTGATGGTAGGAGAGCGCAAAATTGTACGATACTTTTAAGTAAACTGAAAATGAGCGATGAAGAGATTTCAAAGTAAGAGCAGTAATAAAAGAGATAGGCAGACAACAGAGATTTTTGTTCATTTTTAAAACCTATTCATCTTTCAGAGCAATACTCTCCATGGACTCCAACGAACAATTGGCTTTAGACATGGTAGAACAGTTACTCAAATTTACACCATCGGCCGAGGAGAGAGCATTACTTGATGAGCACAGTGAGGACATCGAGTCGTTAGCAAGGGCCGATCGTTTTTTATACGAGATATCAAAGTAAGCAACATTTCATATTCGAGACCGAACTATATCGCTTAATTATCATTTAGAATACCGCATTACGAACAACGATTGAAAAGCTTACATTATAAGAAACGCTTTATGATAACAGTAAACGATTTAATTCCACGCATCACTAACGTCATGGAAGCTTCACGTGAAGTGACTCGCTCTAGACGTTTAAGGAAGCTATTGGAATTAGTTTTGGCATTAGGTAGGATTGGTTTGCGTATTATGGTAAGACAAAAGCGATATTATTAAATCAAACCATTTTATATATTACATAGGCAACTATATGAATCGTGGCGCTCGAGGCAATGCATCTGGATTTCGTTTAGCGTCTTTAAATCGTTTAGCTGATACTAAATCTAGCGCAGCCAAGGGCACCACTCTTCTACACTTTCTAGTCCAAATAATTGACAAAAAATTCAAGGACCTTTTAAAGTTAGAAGAAGATATTCCACATGTGAGAGAGGCATCCAAAGTGTCTCTGGGAGAAATGGACAAGGACATACAAATGTTGCGCACAGGTTTAACCGACGTGGCCCGCGAAATTGAATTCCATCGTTCTTCGGGTCCTGCTCAACAGGGTGATCGTTTTTTGCCCGTTATGCGTGAATTTCATGCCCAGGCTTCGGTTAGATTTGCCGAATTAGAGGATAAATTTCAAGATATGAAGACAAGATTTGACCGAGCGGTCCGTCTTTTCGGCGAAGATGGCGCTATCTTACAACCGGACGAGTTCTTTGGTATATTTGATGCTTTTCTTACGGCCTTTGCTGAAGCTCGTCAGGATAACGAGAATTTACGCCGCCGTCAAGAAGAAGAAGAGAAACGCGCAAAACAGGAAGCCGAACTTAAGAAACGAACAATTGAACGTAAAAACAAAGAAGGATTGATGTCTTCGGTGGCCAGAAATTTAGGCTTGAAATCAAATAACGGTACCGATTGCTCAGCTAAAGGGGACAACAAAGGCGAATTCGATGACCTAATATCAGCGTTGCGGACGGGCGATGTATTCGGCGAGGATATGGCAAAATTTAAACGGTCACGCAAAACTCGCTTAACTAACGCTAGCACTTCACCGCCTCGACATGGCCTGCACAGAGAAGAGAGCAGAGAACGCACTGTGAGGAGACAGTAAAACGGATTACTACATCAATATTATAGATGAAAATAAATTTAAAGTAATTGTTACTTAGCGAATTTTCAACAATGTCGTCATAAAATTCGAGAGGATCCACTAGCGAATGACGAAAGGCATTATTTAGTTCAGTTCAATTCTTTAAATTTTATCTTCTTTTTTAAATTTGTTAAAACAAGTTGAAGCGATGACCGGCAAGAAGGAAGGCGGGGCAATGAAGAATATATAAAAGAATATTGAAACCAAATTATGTCAAACCAATTTACGTTAATTATTATTAAGAGAGAAATACGAGGCATGTTTGTATTAAAAATTTAGTTAAGGCAAAGAAAAAATTACGACAGAGAAACATATTATAAAAATTGATGTATTTCATGGTTTATTAAAAATAAATTAGGTTTTTAAAAACGATAAACTTAAACTATATTATTAAAAATGAATTAATAACGAATTATGATAAAATTACATAAATGATTATCCTTATTAGAAAAAATGTTGCAATGACATTTTTTTGCTTATCGTCTAAAGTAAATTCATTCAATGTATTCATAAAGGACAAAAAAAAAAAAAAATGATTTCCTTATCAACTAAATAATTTAACAACTTTCAAAATCGTTAATTAAAGAACTATATAGTCTGGAAATGATTTTATTTTTTTGACATAGTTGGCCGCCGCCACGGTTAAGCTGACCCTGTTGCCGATTAATATCACCCACGCATATCCAATTGGGCGATGTGCCGCCAACACGCCAATGAAATAGTTTGAATCCGGTACTCTGTGAAACGGCCCATTTCGAGTGATCTTGAGATGATCGAAAAGCTAAAGATCTCGGATCACCTTTAATCTCCTGAATATTATAAACCTTTTGTCCCAGGCTGCAATTCGAGGCAATATTACCGCCGCCGTTACGCCATGACTCCACGAGTAAATTGCTTCCCAGTTCAGGGGCCATTAGATCTTCATATAGTTCTTGATTATATTTAGCGGATTTAGCGAATGATTTAAAATGCACATTCTCCAATGAGTTAATATCCAGAACGCTATAGTAAGGCTCTGTGCGATTCCATTTCTTATCGATGACCGATTCCAATAGGGGAAATTTACCTGTCAATCTCGATGGCACTCGTTGAAAATAAATATTTGGCGCATTTACTAAAAGTTGTTTAGCAATTTTTTCCACCTCTGAAGCTGAGAAAGTTATGCACACAAAGCTTTGTCCATATATTGAACCAGTAGCCGGATATAAATAATACGGTATGGATGGAAATTTGGGTACTGAATGGATCAACCAGAAACCCGTTACCCCATCTGTGGCCAAGACACCTTTTGCATGACCACCCCCACTTTTAACAGTACCATTAGGATATTCATCATTATAAGCAATTAGCAGCACCGACGCATCATCAAATAAATCTACCATAGTTTTTGCTGGCATTGAAGTTGGCATATTAATCTTGTGTTCGGAAAATTGCCAATTTTCATGCTCATCACTTGTCGCAAACATATAATCATATCCTTTCAATTCTGTCTTTGATCTATTATCCGACGTGTAATGTTTAGGCAATTTATACAAATAATACCTTTCAAATAATAATAATAATAATAATAAGTTTAAATGAAATACTCAAATATAACATAGCAATTATTGTGACAGATGAAACAACTACCACCAACAATAATTGAGTCGGTTGTAATATATCAAATAAGCGAAGTGATCTGAAAAATGATTAATATCACACAAATGCTCGTACCATATGAAATAAATGAAACTTTCGTGCCTATATATGTTTATGCAAACTTCTCGCGAGATATTTCTAATTCGGAGAGGCAAAGGCAATCTGTCTTGCTTACCAGTCAACATTTAATCCTTGTTCCGTTTTACAGGCGACTTTTAAATTTTTGTACAAAGCACACACGATGAAATTCGGCAATAGCACGACCAATAGATAAATATGAAAATAGAATAAATGCATTTTTCTGGCAACTAATGAAAACTGAAGCGAGAATCAATCTTATAACTGTCCGTTATCGTTAATGAACGTAAACAAACTGATCTGTGCGAATATTATTTCATTAATAAATATGAGAAATCTGTGCATGTGTATTTATACGATTGATAATGATTAACCTGTTGAAACATTAAACCGAACAGTATACAAGCTATCCCTGTAAAATTCATTCATTTCCAGTTTTCCAACGGTTTAATGCCTGCTTCAGAAGATGAAATTTTTAATTCGTTTAACTTTAATTCGAAACTTTAATTTAAGTTATGCGATCCTAAGCATTCCTTACGTCATTTCTTATGGCCAATTTACCGCTTACATATTGTGGATATGCCAACGTTCATGATAAACATAGCATACGCTGTTGATTGTAAAAAAGAAGGGCAAAAATTGCTTGATTATCGTACGCGAGCCATTCTTTTAATCATAGATTAAAAAGATTACAAATAAATGATTACATTTTACTATACATACGTATAATATAATACTGGTTATATCCGCCAATGCCTTATAAACTTTCCCAAAAAGATTTATGTGCAAAAATATATTCGAAAATGTTTTCCCCATCTTTTATTATACACTTGTCATTTGTAACTACGTTCTTCTGGGAAGTTCTTGGTTATAAATTTTTTAAATTTTTTTTATTTTAGAAAAATTTAATAACCGCTTCAATAAAAGTTTTTTAAGCAAATCATTTTTTATTTTCTTATTACTATTATTATTAATTTCGCCAGAGAATTAACCCTATCACTAAAGTCTTAAGGATATCGGCTTTATTAAAAACTTTACCTCATTTGAGATTTGAACCCACGATCATTGAGTTGCCACTCGGGACTGACTCTTAGCCTTGGCCACTCAGGCGGATTTTTTTTATTTTTATTTTATTTTAATTTCGATTAAATTCTAAAATAAAAGCAAACCGCATACATACACACATGCACAAATAAAAGATTTGAAAGTAATTTTTATTACGATTTGGTAGCAATATGAATAAACCGTTACAATATCTTAATTTTTGAACTGAACACCCAAAGTTTGCCAAATTAACGGACTTTCTTCTTATAAGTAGAAATTAAAGATCACTTTCCCCAGTACATTTAGCTATAATTTAAACTCAGCTTGGCAGTTATTAAAAAAAAAGAATTAATTGAGAATGAACAAAATTGCAAAGATATAGTGCCGCGACTTCATAAACAAGTAGACAGGCTGTATGGCGGGTTCCACACACATTTGAAAATCTTAAACTGAACTTCGCCAAGAAGACGCAAATTTCCCGAGAAACTTTTACCTTCTTTTGTACATACCATGACAACTTCAGAAATGCTATGCCTTAGCCAAGCTTTTCTTTCCATCATCGTAAAATTATTTTATTATATTCGTAGCGTTTCAAAATTAGCGAAAGAAAGGGATTTGGAGGCTTTTCTATTGTAATTGCAATATAAGCTTGAGGAGAGCGGCATACAAATCTCGTTTTCATTAGGGAGCTGTCATTTGAACAATACGACACGATCGCATTTTTGGATTAATGGCACCTCGATTACTTTTGTATCGAGTTGGGCTTCTCGTTCCTTGCATTTACAATGGAATATCTTTGGTATTAACCGTACATCGGTATAACAAACGAATGGAGAGAAGAAGAAAAATAAAAAAATTAATAAATAAATAAAACACAAATGTACAATTGGGTGAAATAATTGAAGTCTATAAACGAAATAATTAAGTTAACTAGATTGAATTAAATATATCACTGTTTATTTAAATAGTATACATATATATTTTCTTAATAGCCAGCTTCATGTTTATAATTTGCCATCTGTACTATGCCAAAATCATCCGTACTATGTCTAAACAGGCTCTAAAGAACAAGTTTCTAGAATGCTCTTTAAATATTTTCTTGTAATCCCAGAAATTTTTCGTTAATTCCATAGTTATTTATCTCTTTACATATATTATGACATAAGACATCCCAGGTAAAACCGCAGACAATAGTTATTTGATTTCATTATTATTTTCGCCTACATTTTGCAATTTCTGAGATTAAGTAACCCCTTTATGCGCGTTTGCACCGATATTTTACTTTATTTTCCCTATAAACATACAACTCCATCGCATTCGAGCTAAATTATGATATTTCGCGTTCGATATCGAGCAAAAAAAATCGTTAACGATTACTGGTTAACGAGAGACCCGTCAATTCACTACGCAACTTAAAAATTGGGTTTGCTCGATCATTCAAAAAAAAAAAAAAAAAAAAAAAATGGAGACAATGATAATTGCAGATAAAACTTATTTTGAAATTCACTTGATAAACGCCGAATTGACTAGAAAATCGTTGCAGGAAGACTGACAATCGACATTACACATTAAACAATCCCGAACAGTATTTTGAATTTTCCTTTGACTTACAAAAGGCATTACCTTATCCTTTCAATTAACGACTGCAATAAGAAAAAACGCTTTAGAAGGCCACAGATCAACTAGCCTGCACCATTCTATAGGTATCGATGTATCGACTTTTTAAAATAAGGCGTTATATGGGAAGTGCTCGAAAAAGTGGCCCAGTCGAGCTGTGGTTTAAACACAAGAAAGTAAGAGGAATAGAGGCACAGACAAACTGATATCGATTCAAAACGTGAGTCAGAGTTGATCGGTATAATAGAAGATGTGTGCATCCATCGCAAGTCATACTGAATATAGCATAGATACGTACAAACTTAATACACCCCTGTGCCGCAAGTAGTATAGCGGATAAGACTTAATTATTTTTGAAAGTGAGGCAAGTCCATCTTGGTACAAAGAAAAGCCTTCTTTTTTTTTAAGCCAGCTCTATAAGCACTATTGTATAATAAATAAGCCTAAGAAATGCCAAAAATATATTTATTAGTGCTTACCATTTTTAAATTTATTTAAACGCAAAATTTTAAATGTCTCGCAATAGTAAAAAATGCGCTTACCTCACGTTCAACAAAATAATTTCTTCTTAAATCACATATCCCTCCCGGAACTAAATAAACCAATTAGTCTCTCTAAAGACACATCTTCAGGCTTAGATGGCACTAGCAATAGTCATGTAAAAACGTTGAATATTGAAAATAGGCTAATTTTACTCAAGAAATTTAACAGTGTTGTAATCACCGGTTGCATGCTCTCTTTTTGATACGACTTCCAAGTTATCACTTTAAGAAAAAAGTATAATCTGCCTATTAGTCTCAACTCCGACAGATGTATTGATTTAGTTTCTACCCTTACTAAAATCTTCGAGAAAATATTATGCTCACGCTTAGAGTGGTATCTGGAATCTGAGTGCATTCTCAGCAATTTCCAATTTAGTTTCAAGCATTCCAGATCCCTCCAAGACAACGTTATTACTATATGGTCTGCAGTTAACTCAGCCTTTGTTAGGGATTACACTCGCATTGCCTGGTTTCGGGATTTTATGGGTCTCGGATCCTCCTTGTGTAATTAAGCTTTATCTTGGACTAGTAAGGCCAAAATTAAAATACGTTTACTCACTCTTGGCATGAAATCCACTCGCACTCTAAGCTTAGAACACATGGCGAACGTTATCCTTCTGCCCGTAAGATTGCGTTTACTTACCAATTTTACATCTAATAAATCTTCTATCACGCAATTCTTCTCTTTCCTTTTTTAAAATTTTTGCTGACAAAATCAATAAGTACAAAATTCTAAGAACTGGGATACATAGTTTATTCAAGATTATTTTTGGTTCATTTTCTTTTTAGCCAGATATCAAGTTTTTACTCGTGAGCAAATCTGCAGTTACTCATGACGTCGTTTCTCGAAATTGGTTAGCACCGAATGGAAACACATTCCATTCATCTTTAGTAATGGATCAAAGACTGACGATCTAAGCGGTGGTCTGCGGATTCTAAACAGTAACGTCGAAGTTTATTTCTCAAACCACCCATCCAACTCCATATTTTCGGCTGAATGCCTCGCGATTCTGCAACCCATTCAACTGGCCAGTACTCAGTCACAGAAGAAATTTCTTATCGTGACCAATAGTAAATCTCTCTTATCCACCTTGCAATCGTTTACCTCACGTAAAACTCCTCCTTATGTGTTAGAAATCAGATCTTTTTTATACAGTGTCAAATTTGATGCATTTCGTTTTCATTTTCTCTGAGTGCCTAGCCATATTGGTGTCTTCATATGCCAATGATTGTGCTCTGATTTTGCTGATTTGAGGGCAGTCCAACAAGAAGTACTCAGCCTTTTCTTCTCAACGGTTTGATGATTAATCACACGAGATGCAACAATAAAATTAACATTTGTCTGTACGAATGTTGCCACTTCTATTCGCCATTCCATACTTCGCAACTTATCTGCATGTGCTCTTCGTGATCGCAGCGTTCCAGACCTGTTACGTTCAGTCCATTTAACGGCCTACGCCCCTATCTTCCCTATCTACCCTTTTTTTAAAGCTTGCCATTGAGGCGTATAAATATTTACTCTTTCAGGCACCCTTTTATTTTCGTAATTTTCGGTTGTTTCGTAAGACACTTCCACGTACACGTACTGCATCGCTTCCCATATTACAAAATGCAATTTATGCTGTGTTATGTTGCCATCCTTTAAAAAAAGATGTAATCCAAAAATATTTCTTTCAAAAGTCGAGATATAAAATAAGACAAGATAATTAATTTGAATCTCTGGGAAATTAATATTGATGTTAGTTATGTAGGGGACGTTATCACACGAATAGCATTTATGTATACATCTGTATACATCTACATTCATGTCATTCATCAACTTCATTATGATTATGATTAATTTAGTCAGAGAATAAATTCTAAGACTAAAATCTTAAAGCACTCACATCTAAGGCTTCCGGCTTTATTAAAAACTCTACCGCACTTGAGATTTGAACCTACGGCTATTGAGTTGCTAGCCGAGACTCTTGCCTACTCGCCACTAAGGCGAATTCAACTTTTTTACGATTCAAAGAAAGAACGCAATGTTCACATTGTACCTTTTTTACACAATACTGAGAATCTTGTGTTGTTAATTCGCTGATTTACAATAAAAAGAAGAAGAATCTTTGTTTATATTTAATTGCGGCTGTCAAAATTCGCAAAGAAACAGTTCATTTACTACCTCGATAAGTGAACAAACAAACCAACTATTAGTAGACGAATATTTAACGAATAAATTAGAAAAAAAAAACAGATTTTCAAAAATTAATTATTCGCTTACTATCCATATCTTTCACACAGCTTTTATAAAATGGAAAAAAAATGAGTAAGCAAAGTACTTCTTAGTGTATATTTTAAATTTACTAAGCTAACAATGCATATATTTATTTCAATTATGAAATGTATATAATAAAAAATTTATAGCGAAAGTGTCTCCGTTATGTTATTTCTTATTTGTTCTCCTTTCTTATTTGTCAATCAAACCGCGACACGCTTTACACGATTAGGAGAGTTCCGCGGAAAGCGAGACAACTGTTATCCGGACGAGGCTACGTCCTATGCCATGGATGCAACAAAACTTTCTAGCCAAGCTTTCTCAATTTTGGCCCTTAAAAAGGTTTTTTTTTGAATGTTTGTTGGCTTATTCTTTTATAGGCATCATTTTTTCGCTCCTATTACCATAGTTACGCGAGCCTAAAATCATCTTGGTAAAATCGCCCGGACGTCTTTTGCTAATATATGCACTTTAAGGAACTTGCATGTATCCATTACATACAGAAAGCATTTTTTCCTGTGTTGAATATAGAAAACATTCTTTTAACTCTAAGCGGGTATTCTACTATATTCAAGACGAAGATATATAAATTATAAGACAACTAAACGCAAATTATAAACGAAATGAATCGTACGAACGCATAAATTGGTAATGAGTAAAAGAAGCATTCATTCAAAATACAACGTGTGGAACTACGCTAGACTGGAGTCCTTTCAATACGTTGCTCAATAACTTCAAGCAGAAGAATAAGTAAGACAAATATGTTTTGCGTTGTTTTTTTTTTTTACATACGTGTTCTTTAAAATCGATACCATCAGTCCAAGCCTTCTCAATTCATGCAATCTTGTAATCTCAGTTATCGATTTACAACGCGATAAAAGTAGGTTTCTTATGTCGTAGTTTTCTTTCAAAATAGAAAATATTCGGTAGCTTAGGAATGCCGACTGCCGCTTTCAAGTTTACTTTTCGTTCATCGAATATATTCTTTCTAAACAAATTTTTTAGACGATATCTGGCCGTAACGGTCTTTTTTAGATGTCCAGTGTATCCGTGTATCTTCTTTTAAATTGTCAAAACAACAAAATGAGGTTTTCGACAAAGCAGAGTTGCCAAAACATTTTTCAAAACAAAACTCAATTTTAAGGCCTTTTTCCCCAGCAAAAAGGAATTTATAATCAATGCATATCGGATTTTTAAGTTCCATTGATTTTGATAAAAGTAACGTGACCAATACTTATGTAAAGCGTAAAGGATGGAAATCATGTGATATATTGATATCCGTCCCTTGATATAAACATTATTGGGATCCTTCACTATTTCCCAAGTACAAATATCACGTCAGATGACGCTAACAGCAGCGGCTTTATGAATATTAATTAAAATTTGTTTTCCGGAATAGCCACATTTGCAATAAATATGCATTTGAAGACATTTACAGAGTTATTCCGTGAGAAAGACGTTTTTTGCCGTCTACTGTGTTGTTTGTCTTTAGCGCACATTTCGTGCATTTGCGGGTTCATGTTCTCAATGTCGTGAGGAGGAATTTTGGGAATAAACCAAGCCAGTGTCTAGTGCAACATTTCAACAGTTTTATCGCTTCTCGTTAAATTTCCAAAATTGAGTATAGAACTTTAGATTGGGACTCAAATATTTGCTTAGCAAAATTCTCTATAAGCATGATCGAACTTGTTAGCTTGAAATACCTAACAAACGGCTTAGTGAACATAATACGAACAATTAAACCAACTCTGCTACAATTTCTTTCTTGTTGATCTTTAAAAAATGTATTGATCACACGTATTGTCCATGAAGAAATATTTCTTATTTTCCGTGGCGAGTGAAAAATAGCGCAGGTAATCACAAGTAAAGTGAAGCGAAAACTATAATTTTTACATTATATACGAAAATACATTTTATTTTACAAAATTTTGTAATGACCAATTAAAAAGCAAATGCATTCTTAATTCATTCGAATCTTCCTTTTCAAGCTTCTGACCAGCAGAGCATTCTCAATTTGCTTTTTATTTGTTGTGGGCGGTTTCTGCACATCGTCATCTGTGCACTTTCTTTTCATTTTTTCAGATATTAACTTTTCCATACCGTTCGTCTTCTTAAAATGAGGATTTGTAGGATCAATGTTAAATTCGTGCGAGTTGAAGACCGCCTTAAAACGTTCGTCGTTGACGTTCATTTCAAAAGTATCTTCAACCAGATTGTCTTTAAAAGCAGAATCTTTTGATTTTTTGGCATACTTATGTCTCTTCTTTTTGGATTTCTTTTCCTGTTCAGTTTTAATAATTTTTGCTAAACTGAAATGTTGCTTGAATTGTTCATTAGCCTCATCGTCATCTAGAAGCAATTCCAATTCTTTGACTTGTTTCTCATCTTCCTCATTATCTTCGCTCTTTAGATTTTTACGCTTTTTATTTCTTTCTTTAACTTTACCAAAGGGCTCGATAAAATCGCCGTTTGCAAACTCTTCTGTAAAATAAGGATCATTCATATCAATGTCATCGGGAGTTGAATCGGATCCTGCATCGGAATTCTCGATCCCCCCTTCGTTATGTTTAAATTGTAATTTCTTCCTTTTGCGTTCTTCCTTTCGTTTTTTATTCTTTACAGCACGTTTCTGCAGTATTTTTTCGATGGGCGTTAAAACTTTTTTATCCGTTTCGCTTAAATCCAGCTTCTTATTATCTACTTCGTTATCGTTGGACACCTGCCACGTGAATTCCATATCGTATTTCTTTCCTTCCTTCTCTTTCAACTCTTTTTCGCTAATTTCCGCTAACAAAGCTTTATATTTGCTGATAATCTCCTCCTTTTTATCAAGTTTCCGTTCTGACTCTTTGTCCTCGTTGCGTTGCGTGTCAGACTCTCCCTCATAATTATCTTTATCTTCATCTTCGCTACTACAAGCTACAATCTTACGTAACTCTTTCTCGCTGATGTCATCTAATTTTCCACTTGAGAGTTTCTCACCTAATTCTTTGCGATCAATAGCGGTTTCATCCCAAGTTAAGTCGACTTTAGCTTGCTGTAGAGCAGTAGTGGTAAATTGACGTGGTTTATAGCTGCTTACATCCGGTAGTTCATAGCAAACGTCCGTTGGTTCATCCCCATCAAAGTTTGTATCGTTCGGTACAAAACGTAAGTCTATTAGAGTAGCGGAACTTTCATATTCTAAGCCGTCGCATTCTTTGTAAATTTTGTCGGCAGTATCTGCCCCATCGCACTCCACAATCGCATAATAATAACGTAAACGACTGAGCTGATATTGTCGCAGTTTCTCAATGTGATAATCATCTCCTTCTTCGGCGTCGCTATCTTGCTCTTGTAATAAATCTTCACCACTTTCAGAATCTTCCTCATTCTTCTGAAATTATAGAAAATACTTTAAATAAAAGAAGAACTACTTCTACATTTTCAAATGTCACCTCTTGAATATCTCTATTAGTTTTTCGATTTGAGTTTACTAATTCAGGTGGGCCATGCAAATCTTCTTCGGCCATACGAGCTTTCCCAAATTCCGAGGGATAAATTTTTACGCTTAATATACTACCTCCGGGAGATAAAAAAGAACTAAACAAAATCATTAAATCTATGGCTCGAATACGGTCCCAATCCATATTGCATAGCGCTAACCGATGCGTTGAATACTGAATTGTTTCCGCATCATTTTTTAATTCTCCCCATTCTTGCCGTACATTATCCATTGATAAAACAGGCTCTTCTTCAGAGGATTCGGATTCATCTGAAGATGAGTCAGTCAGGAGATCACCTTCTCCTCTAGCATAATCGATATTAGGATCCAATAAACGGTGGCTTAATGTTGCAACAATTTCTTCGCTCTCCTTCGCTGAATCATCAAATTTATCGCTTTTTTCATCCTGTAATATAGCTTGCTCTTCCCTTAAGCGTTCTTCGGTTTCGAGATTTTCTTCATCATCTTCATCAGAATTTAATTCATAATACCTTCTCAGATCTTCTGAAGAACTCTTATTCATTTTACGACCATATTTGTCCACATGGCATTTAACTTTGAATTTATTATTTGTGAACATTTCCTGAAAGCGTTCATCGATCTTTACTTTCCTCTCAACCTTGGTAGGAATTTTGAATCGGGGATCCGAGACCAGATGCTGAAAACGTTCATCCTGCAAAACACCACCAAAAACATTTGGCTTTGACACGTCTTTCCGTTTTTCCTTTTCTAAATTCATTTTCATATTTGTCGATTCTTTAGCCATTTTCTTATTAATTTTCAATGCAATTCCGCAACAATCTGTGCAATATTTGTTGAAAGTGAATTGTACATATCAATCAGTTCCATGTGCACAAAACTGTGTTGCCAGCGTCATCGAAAGCAACAACGAGATTTTTCTTTAGACATTTCCCATAACATGTTGATTTCCTGCTGACCGAATCAGCTGTTTAGTTGAACTCTTCTTTTTTGTTTTTTTTTCATTTTGAATATTTCCATCTCTCGACTTTTAATATAATCTTTTGAATTATCTTTTAAATTATAAGAATTATGCAAACAATCAACCGCCGTTTTTACACATTAAAATTCTACCTTAAACGTTTGCACTCTTTAAATTACTCAGCCAGTAACGCACCGCCAGATAACCATGTCTGTAAGTAGCTAAATATGTTCGAAAATGTAAACAACTCTAACGATAATGATTATTCCTTTTTTGGCTATTGTGTAGTTCATAGGAACACTTTGGAAGATATTGTTTTGCAGCGACAATTGCAGGCGACGCGAAGCATTGTCGTTCAGGTTAGTTCGAAGAAATCCTTCCCTGAGTTATATCATTACTGTAGCACTTATGGCCGCATAATGGGCGCTCATCACTATTGCGTGCCACACGAAGACAATCGACATTATATTTTGTTGGAGTACGAAAATTCTGAAGAAGCTTCCATCGCCATAAATTGCTCTGCTTACAATGATGAAATGACTGGAGTGCCAGTAAGATCTCCGTTCCTTTGGTTTAGAGCTGCGAGTAAAAAGCCATTAAAACGTGAAATCCAATTAAGTAAAGTACCGGCATTATGTACCGTTGATGGGAATTTATGCATAGAGCAAGCAGAATTAAATTCCTTATTACGTGAAGCTAATAACATGGACGAGCAATTATCCTTGCTTTATCAAAACACAAAGCTAAATGATCTAGGGATACGTTTACGATTCTTAGCTGCTTTTCAAGTTCAGCAAGCCATGTACGGAATGTTTCCTTTAGCAAATGCTATACCGTTTGGTTCTTCAGTGAATGGATTTGGTAAAATGGGCTGCGATTTGGATTTGATACTGCGCTTTGATCAAGAATGTAAAGCAAAAGGAAATCAAGCACACGAGGAATCGCGTTTAGTGTTTCATACCAAAGAAAATTTAATAAACGGTCGTTCTCAAACCCAAAGACAGATGGAGAGTATTGGCGATATGTTGCAATTATTTTTACCAGGCGTTTGCCATGTGCGCCGTATCCTTCAGGCACGTGTGCCAATTATAAAATATCACCATGAACACTTGAACTTGGAAATTGATCTATCCATGAGCAATCTGTAAGTATCATATATGCGGTGCGGTTTTTTTTTTTTTTTTAAAGACATCCTTGAATCTTGTTATAACGATTCACGTTCCTTGTCAACTTAGTTTATTCATTTTAAACTTATTTGCTAATTATTTGTAAGACAATGAATCATCTTAAGATCTAGTTATAAAAAATCGTCAAGCCTATGCAATAATAAATTTTAGCAGAGCTGATTGATTTTAATGTCGATATGCACGGGCTTCTTCCTCCTCCTTTTTGACAGCCTGTATAAGAATGAAACTCATAACACTGCAAACAATGTTTAACATGGCCAATGTAAGAGCTAGTGCTACAATCCATGACGACTTATCCTCAAAAAACCAAGTGAGTTCATCGACGCAGCCATTGAAAAAGGCGTTGCCGCTGACCGCGTCACGGCATGAACTTGGTAGAGGTTGATGTAGATCTAAATAATCCCAGGGACCGGTCGCGCCACAGCATCCAATATTTTCTTGTATCATATTTAAAACGTATGATGAATATCTCGTTTCGGATGTGCTAACAAAGCGATTTAAACTGCTTAATAGCAAAGGCTGTAAACTGGAATGCATGGTGCTATAGTTAAGTAAAACACCTGAACCAGACAACGCAATTATAAAACTGAAAATTTGTGCGCAAATGTACACCAGCAAGGCCAAAGTATTTTCCATAAGTGCGCTTAAACAGCCTAAAAAAGCTACCGCCATCATGATGATACTAATGGCGATTAGAATGTAGACACCAATATAAAAGGATTCAGCTTCCAGGATACGTAGCCATTCGTTGAAGCCTGGCTCTGCTCTTAGCCATACTGTCAAAGCAAACAGGGAGGTGGCGATCATCCAGGCCACCACATTGAAGCAAAACAATGTGTACTTTACACAACCAATTTGTTTCTCGAGAGAATTTCCAGCAGCCATCACTACGTCCGCACTACGAAATATTGACAGTCTGAGTAATTTGTATTATTAACTATGACTCAATTTTAATCGAGTCAAATATTTTTAAAGTTTCAGTTGCACGTTACAAGCCTCTAGTTTTCTTATTTAAAAAAAAAAAAAAAATGTGTTAAGATTTACTAGCAGGTGTGTATATAATCAGCGATTATTTCTATACAAAGCAAAAAAGTTGGATGAAACACATCGAATGTGTATTACTCAGGCTTTATCAATGCGTTTCTCGCATAGATTAGATAAGATATGTTATGTAGAATTTTTGAGATAACAAATTAACTTTGTATACACACATGTCACATGTATATGCATTTGTGATCCGATGAATAACTTACCAAACTTAGCAAAGAGAAAATGATTATTTTCGTGAAAGTTAATAAGTCCTTATGTGTATTTATATATTTCCAGATCCGGTTTTTACATGTCTGAATTGTTATATATGTTTGGTGAATTTGACGAGCGTGTAAGGCCGCTTACATTTTGCATACGACGTTGGGCAAATGCCTGCGGTTTAACGAATCCCTCTCCAGGTAGATGGATTACAAACTTCTCTCTCACTTGTCTGGTTATATTTTTCTTGCAACAAACTAGACAGCCAGTATTACCTTCCATCAATACTCTCTTTAAATCGGCTATACCCAGTGACATACGCGTTACAGAAGATAACGTAAATTGTACATTTGCTCGGGACTTTGAAGCGATCGGTTTCAAAAGTCGAAATAAGAGCAAAATTAGTGAATTATTGTTGCAATTCTTTGAATATTATTCCCAGTTTAACTTCCACAATAAAGCTATTTCATTGAATGAGGGGCGGCCGTTGGAAAAGCCCGATCATTCAGCGATGTATATCGTTAATCCTTTGGAACAGGCATTAAATGTCAGTAAAAATGTGAGTTTAGAGGAATGCGAACGTTGGCGTATAGAAGTGCGTAATGCAGGTTGGATATTAGAGTCTGAAGTAGATCAGAATCATGAGCATGATAAAGAAGAGCAATGGGGCTTATTAAGTTTGTTTAAAACGCCTGAGAATGCAATACTTAAGCCGAATGCATTCTTCAAACCACGAATTTTAGAAGTCAGCGATTTATTCGATAAAACGGAGGAACCATCCAACGGCAAATCGAGAGATTTCGATTCGACATTGTTAGTGGACATTAAGAATAAAGAAGCGAAACAACAAAAACAAAATACTAAAAAGTCAGTGGTCAACGGTCTGAAACAAATACGTTTGAGTACATCGGCCAACACATCATCAGGCTCTAATAAAACAATGCAACTCATGCCTCCTACAAAGAGTATCCGGGGTGGCTCGTGATTTGGCCAAGTCGAAGCATATTTACTACTGCCAATTTTCAGTTTTAATTGCTTTAAACTTAGCTGGAATGTGGAATTCGTTGTGTAGATGAGAAATTTTTTTAAGAAATGAAAAAATATTAAAAAACAAAAGTAATTAACTTTGTTTGTTATTAAACTTGTGTACGCTCTTTCGTACAAATAACAACGACAACAATATTTTTATTCCTCGACTATTTCATATTTAAAAAACATGATACCTGTACATTATATTTTGAATATTCTTTATTTACATTGATTTTCTTTTTTAAATGTTGATTTTTTGCAATTTAGTGTTCTTCGATCAACTCGCTTTTTATAATTTCCTTTCGACGTTATGATTTCGTCTCTTCTTGTTTTTTTTCCTTTAACCCAATTTCAACATTTTTCATAATCGTAACCTACGTATACGCCCACCGACATAGGTGTGCGTACGTGTTCTATGATAATATCGAATACATATATGCTTGTTAATATGTAATGAAAATGTGTTACTGATTATATTAATTATTATATTGTGTCTTCTCTCTATATGTGTATATATAAATATATATTTCTCTTTTTAATAAATTCAATCAACAAATAGATCGTTAGTATGAGCGTATGGATGCAAAAGGTATTTCATACAACAAAATAAATAGAAGAATTTATTAAGTAGTAGGAGCAAAGGAGCTAATAAGATCGAAGAATGAACGAACACATTGCTTACAATTTAGTTAAGCCACAACTTTTTTTTTTTAAATTATCAGTTTATAAACTTTTTTCGCGTATTTACGGCTAATTAATGAATTATTAGCTACTTATTACATATTAACAAAGTTTGCGTACATGAAATTTATTATTAATATAAGCCAAATATAGCCAGATTTCAGTTCCATGACGGATGAAGGCAAAGCTTATTTTGTTGCTTCTCTACTTAACTTCATAAACGACATTAACAGTTTTCCTAAATACTCCAATCGTTTATTTCTTTTCTGCTGGCAAAATAAATTTTCAAAATCCAAAACCATAAAAGATCTCTTACAAAATATATATTAAAAGAAAGAAGAATACACATACGTACACACACACACACACACGTGTATACATATATATATATATCAAAAAAAAATACATACATGCATATATTTATATATATATATATTCATGTATATATATATATATTTATATATATATATTTATATATATATATATATATTTATTTTTGTGTGTGTATTAGTGTGTGAGTGAGTGAGTGTGCGTGTGTGCGTTTGAGTAAGGAGGAGGTGTAGTGGGTGGGTGAATGCCTGCATGTATTCAGTAATTTACAATTTTCTGTTAATTCATTGCTCCCTGTGTCTGCAAGTGTCAATGACGAGAAGAGTAAGTCAATTTTTTTGTATTTTGTTTTTTTTTTTAAATTAATTTAAACAAATTCTAATATTAAGTGAATTTCCTTGTTCGTTTCTGTTTTGAACAATTCTTCTAATGCTAACATTACTGTTTTCTGGTTCACGAACTTTAGTTGTCCTTCGAATAGCCACGCTAATAATTTGGCTAAATTAAAAATCAAATGTTGGGCAAAATAATCTCATCTAAACCAAAGCTTCAAACGGAGAGCATCCACACCGTTCAGATAGTAACGGAAGAGGCGTTTGTCGCGCACAAAGCCCAAATTCTCGTATAAACGCAGTGCAGGCACATTACTCATTTCGGTTTCCAGGACAACTTCATCGGCATTATCGGCTAACATTGCCTACAAGCGAAGCAAACATTACGGCAAAACAAAATAAAAGCATTCACTGAGGATCTGTTTTCCTGTCCAATAAAAATTTTAAAATTCTTGAATTCACTTAAATTACCTCAATGGCTTTTTGGACCAGAGTTGTGCCAATTTTAAGTTTCCTATATTCTTTACGTACGGCTAACATAGCTATGTAACCACGCCTTACATTCATATGCATGTCCAGCTTACACACAATGGCACCAACATATTCATTGCCGTGGGCAGCCAAGAAACATAACTTTGGCCAATTGTAAATGAAATAGCGGTACGTATAGATGGAATACGGTTCCGATAATTCGGCTTGTATCAAACGCATAATATCCTTTAAGGAGAATTGAAGTTGCAGTATTTCAACAGACACATCACCGTACGATACTTACATGCATTTGCAATTCGGATTCATATTCCTTATAAGAAATATGAACACTAGCTAAATTCAATTCTTTAGATGCTGCTATCGATTGAGAATGGGTGGGAGCAGAGCGAGATTTTTCCTCTTCGTTTGTTAGTGTAATTTCACAACTGGCAGTGGTATTACTGAGACATTCTTTTAATACATATTCATTCTCCTTTTGAGAAGATTTATTTTCAATGGTCTCGTGCGCCAAACCATTGGGCAGTTGTTTAGCTGCGTCAGCATTAATTTCCATAGAAGAGACATTGTTCAGGCAATATCCGTTTTCGGTTTCAGATTTATTAGATACCGCAGATGTTTTCTTATTGTTACGTTTTCGTTTAGTTTTCTTAACTATGGCCACTGTTTCAATTGTTTTTTCGGGTGAATTATATTCTGACCCATGATGATGGTGTCCATTTATATTTTTGCACCCATCTTCCGCAGGTTCTTTAGTTTTCGAAGAACTGGCCGCTATGGTTGAAAGTGTTTGATTAGTTTGTGTTGCTTCAAATGTTGTTACTAGGCCATTGACCTGGGTGTCTATGTTCAGCTGTTGCTTCAGTTGATCATTCAATCCATTACCGATGACCTTTGCCGCTTCCCCCACCAGACCATCGTCAAAATTTTTCGACGTTGTGTCATTGGCCACCCCCTCTGTTTTGAAGTTTTTCTTTTTATTTTTAGATTTTTTCTTTGTTGAAATTTGTTGTCTATGGCCCGCAGCAGGGCCATCTATGTGCTCCATGACTCTTGATATACAAAATAAAACGGCCTATAAGCTCCTCTACAAAAATATACAATTTCCCCGTTCTTTCTTTTTATATGACTGATGTTTCTGTGTATTTACGGATATTCTCCTTGAAAAATGACAGACAAAACCTTTTTCAATTGAAATTTTCGAAAATATATGTTCTGTACAATTTTTTTCGTCAGGTTTTGTGTTTAGTCACATTATTAAAATATTTACAGAATTTCTTTACTTTATAAGTAGAATTTAGAATTTTATATGTAATTCTTATTTTTTTTGAAAGCTTAATACGATCTCTTCCTCGCTATATGAATTTTTCTTTTTTTCACTATGTGATATTTAGTGTTGCCAAGCAGTAACTATAATTGCAATACTCTAAATTAAGAGGCGATGCTTCCGAGATGGCAATTTTAAATATTACAAAAATGCGATCTTTTGAAAAATTAAGAAGAATAGATATGTGGAATATAAAAAAAAAAAAATTTATTTTAGTTACAAGCTGAACGAACGGTAAACTTTTCAATTATTTTTACAAATAGAGGAAAAGTTAATAATGTAATAAGTAAAAATCAAGAAAACGGACTTATCGCCTGCAATCGAATCACTTTTGTATGTTCCTCAAAAGTTTCCTGGACAACATCACAGAAATGTCACAAGGCAAATCCTAAGCTTTTCTTTTCAGTTTTCAGCTGCCGTGTACCAATTTTAATATAAAGTCAGAAGAATCGCGACAAAAGAAACAAGTTAGCTCTCTACCTCTTACGCGTAGTGAAAGGTCAAAACTTCAGAATCTGTTTGAAAAGGTAATATATGATATTGCGACCGTCATAAATTGCGATGCAATTTATTTTATACTAAACGTTGAGAATAATATTACCTGGCAGTGCTGAAATCAAAACTTTGGTTCTTGCTTTCAATCAATTTCGGTTCTATGAAACCACTTTTTGGCCATTATTTTCCAACAATTTTTTCGATCTATAAAAAGTATATTTTTTTATCTATATAAGCATCATATCTCATTTATTCCCTAAAAAAGATCCTGCTTTCCAATTTTTTTTTTGTTTCTTAATAATCGCTCGACGTAAAAACAAGTCATAATTAACAAAACTATTAGGACAGGATGAATTTTGAACTGGCTTTTGAGAAGTAAAAATTAGGAAATCGAACACGCAGACAACGTAGGCTGCCAAAGAAAAAAACAAATAACGAAATAAAAAGTTGTCACAATAATATGTTGTAAAACTTACATCTTTTAGTTTAAATCGTGTAACATGAAAATAATTTAAAATGTTTTGTAATCCCATTGTAAGCAAATTCAAAAAATTGCATCTTAAGATTGCAATAAATGTTTTTTTTTTTTTTTTTGGGAACATATGATGTGCGTGTTTTCATATTTTTGTTTACATAAAAAACCATATGACTTGCTAATCCCGGCAATGCTTAGTAAAAAACTTAGGATGTTTGTGTGCATCACAAATCTGATAAATTCGATGTGTTCATATTCATTGTTTTCAATGTATTTAACTTGAATTTCAATGCATGATATGCGCACTCGCTCTACGTTTTTCGCTAGCATGAACGGAATTTGTAAAAGGTTCATTAATTATTATAAGTAAGATTTCGAAATCAAAAGCATATAAAATATTGCGATTTTCAAGCAACTGAAACGATCGAAAAAGTAGTAGAGTACATATGCAATGGCCAACGTATTGACATTCTCACAGGATAGCTACCTCAATCCTCCATAATTATTAGTTATATAATAATCTTTCCCATTATATAATTAAAGCAGGGATCGCTTTGCAAAGTGTGCTTCCCTTTCTATCACCACACATCTTTCGTAGCACAACTTTGAATTCGTTCGTAACGCTTCAAATTAGATTAGAACATTTTGCAAATTTTGAGTTCTTCTTCTCCCATTATCCAACCAAGATAAACGCATTACACGTAAATAAATAAAATTATTATCATTTGTTTTCATTGTACAAACGCCATAATTTTTAAACTGACATATAAGCCACAACTTTATTGGCTTAGTCCATCTCCATTCAACAACCCGAAAAAAAAAAGTTTTTAAACTAACAAAATTTCATTGAACTTTGTTAATACATAACAATTGCAACACTTTCCATTAATTAGGATAATTCTATTCTTAAATTGGCCATGCAAAATGGCTTTTTGCTTGAATAAGAATTAATTTTTTTTTTTTTTTTTTGGAAAGAGAGTTGTAGATTGGGCTCATTTTTGCCCATGAAAACTTGATTACCTGATATCTGAAGGCTCTCTACTCTAGGAATACTTTCATCATATAGAGTCTTTGAACTAATGAAAAAATCATTTCGTCTTTGCATAATCCCAAACCAGGAAGGACGAACAATTTGTTTTTAGTTAAACCCTTGAAAGTTTTATTTAGTAAGACCAATTCATTAAAATTCACAAGTTTCAGTTCAGTGGACATGCTTAAATATTTATGCAGATATATATATATATGTATGTATGTATTTTCGGTATTAACTTGAATGCAAGAAATTGCAATGTTTTTGCCAATTGCCAATGTATGGCTAATAGCTTGAGGAGAATGTCTACCGCAAACGTTACACAGATGGGCAGATCGATTTAGAATTCGATCATGATCAAAAATATATACAAATACATGCTATGGGGTGCTTGTGGCAAATGTTTTGACAAAAGGAATATACCCCGTATTTTTCGGTGGTGTATAGAAAATGCCCAAAAAAAGAAGAGAAAATATAATAGGTTGGAGGGAAAGTTCTGTCGTATTTTAAAGAAATTATTTCAATTAATTCATAAAAATACGTTTTTTTTTTTAATTACAAGAAAAATTACCTGCCCATTTAAAATACGATAGAACTTGCCCTCCAACCTATTACTTTTATTCTATGTCCGAATGTCCGGTTAATTGAAACAAAAATGGAAAGAATTGAGGTAAACGGTTATAAAAGTTGCAGTCAAAAATGAATTGTTTTCTTTCCCTCCCTGTCACTCATTCAATATTTCGTGTTGTATTTGGCAGTCTTGATAGGTTTGGCATTTGCTGTTGGAGCTTTCGGCAGCGTAGGATGTGTTTATTTCGATGTAGAATGACGAGCTTTCTTGTTACAAACAGGATAAGAAGAAGAGGGCATCTGAAATAGCAGGAATGTCTGTAATCAAAGAAAAGGCACTTAAGTGACTGTATTTTAAATGTATATAAGAAACTGAATTGTAAAGATGGGGAAAACCAAATATACATTCATGGTTCGATGCAGTTGGCACCTGGCGAAAAGATTAACAACAATTTACAGACAATTTACTGGTAAAGGAAATTAACGGATTGAAAATGTCGAGATGAATTTAGGTAATGGCGTCTCGCTTATATGGAAAAAAGTCAAATCGAAAGTGACCCGTGAGAGTCGAGCCAAGGGAGTTGAATTGCAATATTCGAACGGAGAAGACCCGAACGATAATTAAATCGTTATAAATATGCAAATATGTAAAAAGACTTTGCGATTTTTTCCGCTGGGTAACCTGGCTAATGCCTATATATCGGGACAAACTCACCTGATTGTCTCAAACGAACACACGGTATTTCTGCTTACATTTTTTGTGAAGATAGTTTTCTAATTCTTCGCTCGTGTAAAAAGTTGTATTGATTTGCAAATGAGTAAAATACCTGAGGAAATACGCTATGTAAAGCTTTTTTACTATGAGAAAGCTGAAAAAGCTGCACAAAGGAGAAAAACAACATTGTCAAGTGTGCGATGAAAATGCTGAATTGAACGAAGGACCCGGGAGTCGTTTTGCTCGATTGCGTTTTAGAAATTTCAGGGATGTCAAAAATGCATCTCGCAGTTACCAATATAAGTTCGTGTAAATAATTTGTAAATAGATCTCCTAAGTACTGTAAGTGGGCACCTATGCTATCCTAAAAGCCATAATTCAGCGGTACGAGGTTGATTTCAAAATTGACTTGAAATAATACTTAAAAGTTCACGAGAACCTATTAACGTTGTAATGAGGTAATGCTACGTTAACTTCCGGCATGAGCTCCACGATGTTCTTTACTCGAATTTAATTGCAACAGCAATTAAATTTGTACACTTGTTTGCACATATATGTGAGTTATTTATGATTCCGTTTTTGTTTTTTTTTAATTTTTTAACCACAAAATGACGATACAGTTATTCTGGGAAAAAAACAACAACTCTATTTCTACCGCACTCACTCAGCTCTCCACTTGATCTTGTAAAAAATCTGATAAATCTGATCGCTGAAATGGTTTAACATATGTAAGATCAGAAAATTATAGTTCAAATTTTCAATAGTGGTTGGTTTGTAAGCACTTGTATGTGGGGAACTGGAGTCTTCGTAAAATCTTGAGAATGCCATTGCTCAATATTTCATGTATTATTTAAAGCGCGCGATAAGAAAGGAGTAGTGAAGAGAAAAAAGTTCATAAGATTTTCACAATTAAGCAGCACTATGAACAGTTCGCTGCGAGAGAGAAAGAGAGAGAGAGAGTATAATAAAATTTGAATTAGTTTTTAAAAAGAACGCGACAAACGTTTCTCTAGTCTTTGATTATTCGCCCCGAAAATTATGGTCTTTTTTAAAGCGACGAAAGAAAACTGCACACGATATTAAAAAATTACCTATTGATAGATTACGTAATGGACATCATAAAATTGTTAATTCATAAATCGTGTATGTGAAGTCATGTGTAAATTATTGCGCTTTTGAACAATCTATTCAAAATATATTTCATATTTCGTAGGAAAATTTTTTATGTTGCTTAGAAGGAGAAAGAGAATTGTAAAAGAAAAGAAAAAAAAAAACAAATTTATATATTATATATATTACAAATATATATGTATAAATGTTACATGAAGGTTGCAAAAATAAATGAATGAATAAATGGTTCAAAAAATAAAAATTGAAACGAAAAGGAACGAATAATTATTAGTATTTTATTAGGTTAAATATTTTTCGGAAAGTTAAAAAGACCTTTCACTATTTTTTTTTAAACGAAATCGCATAATTAGGCAATTTTTATTTATTAACTTTATGGTTAACAGTCAAACATACAGGGTGATAGCGTATGCTTTAAATCTTACGTAACCCAGTTACCTAGATATACTAGAGTGTGTTTTATAAGTTTGAATTTTGAATTAAAACGTTTTCTACAGTTTTTTTTTTTTTTTTTATTATTTTTAAATTACTTTCATTCACCTAACCTAAGCCACCCTGTAAGGAATACATAAATAGGCATGTATGCAAGTCAACGTTTATATAAATCGAGTCGTATGTATTTACATTCGGATTAAACATTAACATGTATGTAGGTCCATTTGTGTTTTGGTCTTATTATGCATGAGTTCAAACATATGTATGTATGTATATATATATATATATATATATATATATATATATATATAATAATAATAATAATGCATGAATATGCACATACACGAATACACACATGCATGTGCATATGTTTGCAATAAGGAAGTGTTTTCGGTAGATAATGATTTGCCACGTCTTTGTCTGTTATTGTGTTATTATTACTATTTATTTATTTATTTATTTTTTTTTTTAACTAAAAATTTTCCTTTTTGTTTCTGTTTTTTGCTTTTTCTATTTTATTAAACATGTCACAGATGTTGCAATTTGTACATATGTGCTTTGTTGTTGTTGTTGTTGTGGTTGTTATTTTGTTTTTCTCATTTTGTATTTTGTCTCACAGACTTTAGGTTAAATATGATAATTGTTACGTTACGCTACACAACTAACAAACAAACATTAAATGAATTTAATTAATTTATGCGAGTAAATGTTGGTCGATAGCCAAGAACTCATGTTAAGCGCTGCCATTTAGTAAATGCAACAAATCGAAAAAATGCCAAATTGCTTGGATGATTTGGACGAATCCTTAGATTTGTGAAAATTAAAAAATATTCCATTAAACGTTCATTTTCATTCACGACCCCCCCCGCGCCCCCCTAATCCGACGAAATTTCAATTCATTTTATTTTAATGGCTCTTGGTGTTTCTTTCTTTTGCCCTTAATTAAGGAAAAAAGAAAAAAAACAACCGGACCGTTATGTTATATTTATTAATTACAATCTCATTCCAGTTCTTCGATGCTTCAGAACCAAGCCTTCGAGTTGATTTCTTTTATGCGCATTTGCCTTGCACTTGTCTTCTTGTATGTATAGGTGCAACTAATCTGTATTAATGTAAGGTCGTCTGCGGTCACGCATCAAGCAAGAGAGACCAACCGGTTGCATTAAAAAAAAAAAAAAAAAAAAAAAAAAAAAAAAAAATGAAACAAAAAAGAAAACACATGACAAATGTTTACATCTTCTACTCCTCCTGCGCGTGAAGATTTGGCAGCAAATGCCGTATCGCTTTTCAGTTACGTATTGTATTTGTTTAATTTCAACAAAGCAATGCAAAAAATGAAAACAAAAGTAAAAAAAAAAACAAGTGATCTGAACAACATTATCTATCCATTTTAAAAAAGTTCGTTAGCTTAGATTTGTATTGAGAGTAATAATGCTTTTGAATGTTAGATGGACATGCAGTCAGGTTCATTCAGCATTGATATATGCGTATTGTTGTTGTTATCGTTGATATATGCAGCATTTCTAGTTATTGTTTTTGTGTGCTTGCATCCCCCTTTAATATTTAAAACGAATGAGCGAATTGGTTTGCGAGTATATATATTTAATGTCAGTTACTTATAAGCCAAGCTGAAGGTATAAAAATCACAGTTAAAGCCTAAGCGTCTTAGAGTAACAAAGTCTCCGTTGTGACCACACCATCGAAGTTTGCTTTATCAACTCGACAAGTCCCGTAATCGTGTTGTGCCCAGGAATTACAAGCAACAAGATTGTAGCGTGTGTCCGAACCATTCAGTTTCAATCGTTAAAACTCATTTTTTAATTCATATCTCATCCACTAACTAAAACAAACATGATCAAGTTTATTGTAAGAAAACAACAGAAAAAAAAAAAAAAAAAAAAAAAAAAAAAAAAAAAACTATCAATCAATTTATAAAAATTGCTAACCATATAGGTGTGAAGAAATTAACTAACAAACAAAAAAAAAAAAAAAATCATTTATTATATTTTAGGTATTGTGTTCGTTTGTTATTGTTGCGAGCACGTTGGAAATTCACGATTTGGGTCATTATGGTGGTCATGAGCAACATGAACATGTGGAATACGTTCATCACGAATCCGCCCCCCAACATGAGGAAACCGATGTTCATCATCATGTCGAACACAAACACGCCACATCCCATCAAAGTGTTAAATTCCATCACTATCACCCTGTGCCAGTTTACATTAAAAAGGACGATCAGCATTTAGTTAAAAAGCCAGTGGAAATCGGCGGCACTAAGCAAAAATTGAAACAAATTCATCCCGAAACTGAGAAGAATTACAATCACGGCGCCGTGTTAGAAGAACACAGCGAATCTAAATTCCATCATTATGGAGAGCCTCATTACGAACACTATCATCATCATCACGAATAAAGGCTCAAAACTAAACTGTAAACCTTCGGAGAGAAAAGCGCCTCTGTGTGATGTTCCTTTGCCGTTGCCTTTGCCTTCGCCTTTGCCGTACAAAAGAGGAAAAGGCAATGCCAGCAATAACCACTATTTTAACAATTATCGAAAAGTTTCTCTTGGATTTCTTTCACATTCCCTTAACAATCCATCATTTGGCATAAAAGTAATGTTGTTGCTCTTCCCTTTAAGATTGATTCATCTGCGTAATAAATTAATAGAAACGAAAATGAATTTCACGCCTTTTAACTGAACTTTTCAAATGAAAGTTTCCTTCGAATTGCGTCAAGACTCTTAAAAAGCTTTCATTTCATTTGTCATGCACTGATTTTCTTGTCTAGCTTGCCTAGCGAAGGGGCAGGATACCGCTGCAAGCGATTATCAACTGGCTGGTAGGCAGGGGAGGAGCTTTTCACAAGTGCCAAGAACATTATGTGAAACAGGGGCAGAGAGTGAAAATGCTAAAGAACCTGCCCATACTCAAATCTATCCCAATTCCAATGTAAAAAACTAGTACTAGGGAAAGCAAAAACAAAAAAAAAAAAAAAAAAAATCAAAAAAGTCATTTTGACTTTTTTGCTTAGAGGAGCAATAACTCAATTATAAACATTAAGTAAAATGCTTAAAATGATTGAAAAGCAAATTAACCCTAATAACCGTAGCGTATTCAGAACAACGTTACGAGGATGTTACAAATCATAAAACGTTTTTTTTTTGTTTATGGGTTATTTCTGATATGCCAGATGCCCAGGCTGCTTAAACGATGACATTTGAGCGTTTTGTTGCGACTGGTTATGCCTTTGGAGTATCCAAACTGAGACACAGTTAGCGACTCGTATCACCCCGGTCCGAGTAGACACCCAATATGTAAGATGTTTATGACTATCTATTGTTAAAATTCAAGTTTCATCCAGAGTCATCCATACTTCTCTCATCTATTTTTAACAGAATTGTTTAAATTTCTTTGCAAAAAAAAAATGCTTTGTTGCAAAAAATTGTTCGAGAAAATTTAAAAAAAAAAGTACTATTTTAAAGAAATTTTGAGATACTTTTTGATTTTTCTTTTCTTTTTGGCTGATAGTAGAAGACACGGCCCCAACCTCCAGGGACAGATCATTCTCGAAGAGAACATTTTAAGAAGAGATTTTTTTTGTATAGCTTTGTTGAAAAGTTGTTTAAAATTTTTGCAACATATTATGTACAAGAGCCTAGCACTTGTTTAAGCATACTTTTTGGGGGTTCGCGAAAAACCTTGTCACTTAAAAACTGTTTTATTCGCAAATATATCGTTTTTTCTATTTTTCATAAAAATAAAAATACAATTAGTTTTTATTTTTTTTAAATATTTAAAAAAAATGATCAAATAATTTATAAATTATAGACTTTAAATAATGGGGGAAGGGAGGCAGACAGAGAGAGAGAGAGAGATAGAGAGAGAGAGCGGGAGAGAGCGGGAGAGGAAGAAAGAGAAACAAAGAAGGGGAAAGATATACCAAAAATAATTAAAAACGGGAAGGAGAAGAAATATACAACTAATTATGTAAATATAATTAAATAATTGAATAAATAAGATTAGCGCTGAAAAAATTCATTATAAAGATCCTCCATAAACTCAGATTATTGGCAATTATGTGAAATTTGGATTTCGAATTATTCTGCGGTCGAGGTTTGGCTTAAACTTTCGGTGGCGGACGTAGAGCGAAACTGGTTTCAACATCCCTGGCATTGGTGCTGCGATGCGAGGATTTTTTTGCCGAATTAGCGTGTGCGCTGCCGCCCCGTTTTCCACGTTTGCCAGGACTGTGACGAGAAGATGTAAGACCTTTATACGAATGTTGCTGATACCCGGTATAGGCATCGTGATTGTTCGCGTACTTCTGTGCATAATTATTCTCATAATCTAAAGTTTTGTACTTGTGCGACCGCGTTGCATCGTAATTGCTATTGCCTGAATCCTCGTATTTATTGCCCGATGATTCTTTCTTCACCACATATTGATAGGGTGTTAGAATTGGATATTCTTCGACATTAGTACCGCTTGGATCTTTCTCGTTTTCACTAACCGAAGAATCAGTATAATATCCAGCAACTAGGCCACCGCCGCTGCTACCGTAACCTTTGTAATCGGGATGTGGAACGTCAGCAGCTTTTAACTTGCGGTACTCATTCTCCACGCGTTGCTTTTGTTTCAAAGGCATGGAATTAATGTCATGATAAATTTCCGAATTGAAATACAATTTATTAGATTTGCTGCTAGACGCACTTGTGGCGGGTTGAAAATGTTCCTCAGTGTTCGGTGGAGTTATGACATGCGTGTGATCGAATTCCTCGAGGTTCTTTAAGGCGGAAGCATGATCGAATTGATCAAAGTTGGCTTTAAGAGGTACGCTGTAGGGCTTCGAAACTGTTTTTACCGTGGCCGTTTGTAACGGGGCCCGGGTTTTAATTTTATACACAAATTCCACATTCGGTGGCAGTACTTGAGTTAAATCTGGTGTTTGTATCTCATGTTTACCTAACGGTGAAACCGCTAAACTCGAAAGCTTGTTCGAATAGGGTGTTTCCTGTTGATAATTGATGGGTGTTGAAGTGTACCTTGGCTTGGTAGTACTTGAACCGAGTGGTTTTCCCTCATTGCCCGGGGCGTTAATTAATTTATAATAAGATTTCATATCTTTTTGTGGAGTGGTAAGTATTTTTCCTTCAGCCTCCAATTCTTTCATATACTTCATGACGGACTTTTCAATTTGCTTCATAATCTCGGCTTTCGGTATTTCAGTGGAAGCAGACACACGTATTTTGTCTTCATCTTCTTCGACTCTTTCCTCATCGCCCGAATTCATTAAATGGTATAGAGCGCTCGCAGGCTTATAACTATATTTCGTTCTGTAAGTTCGATCGACCTCTGATTGAGCAGCATTCTCACCACCGGAGTTAGGATCTTCATAGATTTCATAACCGTGACCCGACATATCTTTTTCATAAACAGGAGCTGTGGGTGCGTACTGACGTGGACCTAGTTCCTCTGATAGTTGGGCTTCTTGCTGCAGTTTTTGCTGTTGATCCTGCGGTTTTGTTAAATATTGGCCTTGTTGTTGTTGCATTTGCTCTTGAAATTGAGCCTGAAATTGTGCTTCGGTTAAACTTTTAACATGCGACTCTTTACGCTGTTTAGACGGTTGTTGTTGTTGTTGTTGTTGTTGATGATATTGATAATCGTTTGTTATATGTTCTTCGGCGGTGTGTGCCTCTTGCTGTTGTAATTGTAATTGTTGCGACTGCTGTTGTTGCTGTTCGTTTGCTTGTTGCTGCTCTTGTGTTGACTTTTCTGCAGCGTCTTTATTTAAAACATAATAACGGTACTTGTTTGGCTTGCTAATGACTTGGAAATGTTGCAATTCCTTTTGCATAGGTTGTTGATATTGAACTTGCAATTGCTGCTGTTCGTGAAGCTGTGGCTGAGCTATATTCACAGTTGCTTCAGGTTGAGCTGGTATGTGTATTGGTTCACGCAAACGGGAACCAAACATACCCATTGCCTTGGCAACGTACTCTTCAGCAGTTTCGGAATCCTCCAAAGAATCTGTCGGTATGCTGATGCTACTCGTGTACTTGGTCGTTATTTTTGTATGTAACGGTTTATTCTCAGGACGTATCAGATTAATATCGACATTATTGTAGGCATAATCTGCATAAAGAACCAAAACGAGAAAAAAGAAGGCATGTAAATATGATTCTGTGTCGACTCCCATAAACGAAAATATAACTTTGCGATTCGCTCATCTTATCTATCTATCAAAGTAATGCTTTACTAATCGACCGCCTGCCAAGACTATTCATCCCTTAATCGGTTTGTCGAACTCTTTCCCATCTTCCCTAATGTTTGCACATACAACTCAAACATATACATTTCTCATCGCATCACTCTCTCTTTCTCCTTTTCTATACCAAGAATCCTTTCTATTCTTCACGTTCTGACACAAATACAAACAAAAGAAGAAAAAAAAGAGAAAAGAATCTAGAGAAATGTTTCGCTTAAAGGTAGGTATTCAGGGATATTTTGTTCGTTAACAGATAGACGCTTGATTCAAATCATTTAGATAGAAGTGTTGCGCAATGACCGATAAGCGGGGAGACAAAAGTTTCGAAATGAAAATCTTCTTTAATGGACCAGAATATATCATAGGCGGATGATTCACCCGCTTATGATCTCGTAGAGTGTATGTGAGTTTACTTGCCTGCAGCATCGGCAGAATAAACGCCAGCACGACGATATTGATTGGTTTCGCTATGTATAGAGTCGGCAGATGGTGCTTGTTCAGTTGCTGGTTTTTCAGTTACATCACTTACATCTTCGGTAGCTTTTTTGGCATTCGCCAGCATTCCCGGTTTGCGCCGGTACAGTGGCTTATTGGTTATGGCCTCATTAAAGCTAAGCGAATGTAACTAAAATGAAAAATAACTGTTTGTGAATGTTTGCCTTAACCGCGATATACGATCTTAATTAATTCAATTTAATGTTATTGACTTTTGATGTTTTTCCTTTTTTTCTCTTTATTTTTCGTTTTTTTTGTTTTTGTTTTAAAACGTTTAGTCGATGTGCTATGTATTTGATGATATAACGGGAAAACACTTTCGCTTTTATTTTTTTTTTGGCACGCTTGGTTAGCATACCCAGCCACCAATTGCCAGTTACCTACTACACACTCATGAATCCGTGCACGCACAAACATGATCATAATACATATCGCACTTTGTAGTTCATTAACATCCATTGTTAATGATAAATTGTTAAGTTTGTTACAAAAAAAAAAAAAAAAAAAAAAAAAAAGAAAAAAGCATAAGACAAACGTTGCTTATCCTGACATTAGCATTGTCTTCTAACATTAAATCACATAAATGAATGAAGCAAAATCAATAAAAAATTATTTGGTTTCACATTTTAATCCAGTTTTGTTTTTCGCCTCGCTTGGGTCTTTTAGTTCAATTAGTTTTGCCCAGTTATGCGTTTCCTGCTTACGGAAGGATATCCATAAAAAAATATACATTGTATACAATGTCAGTAAACTTTTTTGCTTTAGTTGTCGCATTTAATTCAAAGGCATTATGTTTTGTTAATTATGTTGCGTTCGTTATCATTATTATTATTATTATTATTATTATTATTATTATTATAGTTAGTTAGTTACTTACAATTAGCAGGGCTAAGTAAACAAATTTAAACTGGTGCGCGTACATTTCACTTCGATATCTAAACATCAATTGTTCGCATTTACTGACCAGTCTGATGCTTTTATAATGTGAATAAATGATTGAATGACTGACTGAATGACTAAAAACTCTTCATGCACTGTCTTTCTGTATATCTGTTTGTCTGTCTGTCCGTCTGTCCGTCTATCCGTCTTTAATGCATTTGCAGCAAAGCAAAGGTAATATTATTATCGCATGTAAACATGCAGTCTATTCTTTTTATTGTTATTGTTGGTGAGTTTTTTTTTTTTTTGCTTGCAATAAAACACTTTTTTAACGAAGCAGCGGAAAATAATATGAAAACAAAATTGTTTTTTTTTTCTTTTTTTTTTCAATTTTTTGATTTTTTTCTTTTTTGTTTTTTTGGCTTACTGACGATATGCATTTCTTCGTTTCCTCCTTCTCTTTCCGCTGTTACACCATCACAATGTGATAACAGTAGTTATTGCTCTCAATACGTGCCCCTCTCATTCGATTTGATTGTATTCGCTCTGGTATCCAGTATCATGACATTTTTATGATATTTCTTTGCATTGTTTTTATGTTATTAGCAATTAACAATTTCTTTCTCTGTAAATCGTATGCGAGTGCATTGCATTAGTCGAGCCCGATATAAACACTTTGTTGTTTAACAAAACTGAATACAACGCGTGGTTTCTTTTTTTTCTTTTCTTCTTTTTTTTTGGCCATAAATGCATAAGAAGTCAAGTCACATTTTTCCACATACAAGTAATTAATATGATAATGGTGCGTGCGTGTGCGTGTGTGTGTGTGTGTGTTTTTTTTTTTTTTTTTACCATCAGCAATAAATCTCGATCATACAAATATCGAAACTTGTCTTAATCTTGTCGTTTTTTTTTTTTTCCTTTTTTTTTTTACACTTGATATTTGCCTTGAGACACTGGCCCTTGATATTGCTTTTAGGATAAGGAGTTTCTTTCGGGTTTCGATAAATTTTTGGGTCCAAAAGCGTTTGGGATTAATTTGAGGGGAGCAACGATCGCAATTTATTATATGAGAGCATCGCAAGAAAAAAAGTTGCAGCTTTTTTCCAATCTCCAACTCTTATAAAATCTTTACAAAAGCGTCGTCACCTTGCTTGTCCTTTACTTCCGCTCTTTTTAATCGCAAATTTCCTTTATCGCACTACTTTTTCCCATACGTTCGTTTCTGCTAAAGCGTTTCGAGTGTCTGTGTACGTGTATGTGTATCTGCATTTTCCCGCATTTCATTACATGTTGGGCTAATAAGTTGAAAGATTTCGTCATAATTTGCATAGTTATTACGGTATTGTTGGAGTTCGAGTTTTTTGTGTCAATAAATCATGCTGAAGAAGGGGTATAAGCCATAAAGACAAAGAAATATTTAGACACGCGAATGTGATGAAAACGCTTTGCTTCACATTATCAGTGAAACATAAGTCATCCTCTATGTGAAAAGAGATGGAAAGCAAAGTGAAATAAATGTCTTGTTCTGTCAACCTATGCGCTATTGTATGCCACTGTTATGAAAGGTTTCATACAATACTGGAATGACAAAGTTAGTAAATACTTACTTTGCATTATATAGCATGGAAAATAAAAACGAAGGCATTTACTCTGCATAAACATTTTCTGACCACGTAAGAGCGAGCGATCGATCCGGCCATCGCTAGTTGCAACTTCCTTTTTCGAAATTAGCTAATTAACCAATAGAGGAAATTGCATTCACCTTTAATTTTATTAGACGAGGAAAAAGCAGAATTTCTTTTACTTTGAAAATTTAAGGAAATCTTTATATTAACGAGTGGATGAATCTTTCACTTATTTTGTTGAAAAAAAATTCGAAAAATTAGTGTAAAAAAAACTAATTCGCCCCCCTCTCTGCAGTTTTTTTTTTATGTTGTTTTTATGTCTATCACCGAAGGATGCGGGATATATTCATTTCGTTGAATCGTTTACATCACCCCGAGGAAAGCCTCCGAGACCGCACAAAGTCAATACGTTATTGATAAGCATCAAATTCGAAACCGATTTAAGTATATCCACTTGTCTCTCTTCCTGTCTGTTTGTCTGTCTGTCTGTCTGTCTGTCTGCCCCTATCAACTCTGTGTTAAACTTTCTCCTGGTCGCAAAAATGCAGCAGTTTTAGTACAAAGCTTAGAAGATCTTGTAGGCAGTTTGGTATCGAAATTGAGCCACGGGGGGACACGGCCACAGCATAGCATGCATGGCATGAGACCATTTTTGTTCTTTCAAAATAAAACATAAATTTGGTTTTAGCTCGTCACTTATAAACCACAGCAGACACAACGATAAGAATTTGCATTTATTTGCTATGGCTGATCCTACAATGTTTGTACAAAAATGGAAACCATCACCCGCGCCTATTCAATATTCCTTTTTCGAATATGTTTGCAGCGAACAGCAAGAAGTTTTTGAGAGGTCATATTTAATTTACATTTTATTGGTTAATATCAAATCTTTATCGTTTTAGAAATGTTGGACAGTCTGCCTGACCGCCTGTCTATTAATTGTTGTCGTAAATGAAATATTGACTAGCATTCATAGCTCTTTATACTCTACACCGATCGAAGCAAAAAGTCATTTTAAGCGTGTCTGTCCCACTGTCTGTCTACGAAAAGTCGTTATATAAGTAACTGTAGGATGATGTAGGGTATTTAATGGCGGGCCGTGCCCTACATTAGTCTTTTTGCCCGTTGGAATATATATAAATCAATTCAAATTGAGAAGTGAAACAATTAAACTTGTATAGGCGTTGTAGGCGCTGTAGCTGTGTCTTTGGAGAAGTTTAAATCGAAATTCTAAATTTCTTTGCAAATTTGTAGGTTACAGGAGAACGTTCACCACGAAGACTACACAATTGCGCAGACGGACAGATGGACAACGAACAGAAGGACATATTTTGGTGTATTCCAAATTTCTCAGTTTGCGTAATGCTGTGGGCGTGCTCGTCGACTGATTGGGCCCATTTTTAATATCAACCTGCGTGCAAAAACTTCCATTGTTTCTGCCGAATTGAAGGTCGATAGGTTCATTTTCGCGGTCAGGAGAGGAGAATGCTTACAACATCCATTATACAGAAGGACAGACGGACATACTTAAATTGATTTAGAATTTTATGCTGACCTCTGAGGCTTCTTCCTGGGCGTTGCAAACGTTTTGCAAACTGACAAACGATATTTCAATTACGCCCACGATTCTCATCGATTATCATCTAAGTGGCTAAAGGTTCTATCGCACTTTGCTCTAAAAAAACATTGTGGAATTGCGGTAAAAATACTCAATGTCAAATTACTTTATTCGTTATAAGGGGAAGCAGTATGCAACATGTTAAGATAATAAAATTTTTTTCCAATTTCATAAGATCGAGGAGTAGTAAAATTTGGTTTAAAGAATGAAACCAGCTCTTCTTAGGATTTAATTAGTTGTTCGTTTCCTTCCGCACCAGCCTAAAATTTTATTGACATTTCCGTCCGATTCTTGAAACTAAGAAGAGTGATGGTTACCATATCACTTTTCGTAAGTACAATTGTTTTCGATATGAATTCTTTAGCTGGCCGCTTGGTCTGCACGTTTTCCTTTATGGGTGTTTGCCCTTTTTTGTATATTTGCTATGATACGCAATCAGGGCGACCAACTGAACTCTCCGGATAGCTAATTCTGGTTGTTGTTGAAACCGTACATTCCGAAACGGTTGTAGTAGGTTGCGTAGTTCTATTATTATCTGCCTTAACGGATCTATCATGGAATGGACCAAACGGCCTAATAGAGCAGCCTGTCTTTATACTGTAGCGTGGTTGCGACCATTTACTTATTGAGTACACTTCGGTTTTCGGGTTTTTTTTTTTACCGTAAACCGCAACAGACACAGGATACAAACTACCCGTTTTATTCTATGAAAATGGAAAATAACAGCCGCGCCCGCGCAATATTATAAAGTATGAAAACTAACTTTCCCAGCCGAATATAGTTTTCTTAGTTGTTCTTGTTAATATTGTCGCAGAACAGCTTCACTTTTGACTGCATATGCGATTAAATGTTGCCTTTGTCTCAACATATCGCTGTCACAACAATTTTTGTAGGCGGTTTCTGTGGCCGGTGGAAAATAATATGAACTTTTTCTTTCGGGTTAATCCAACATTGGCTATTATATGGTAATGAACTGCACGCTTTG